ACTCACAATTAGGAGCTAGACCCACGAAGACCGCAAAAGTAAGTCAAGAATCTTGATAATAGAAAAAAAGGAAACGACAACTTAAAGTAATTGAGGTCATTATAGCACGATAACTCCTTCCGATTGGCTCTGTGATTGTCACTACTTTAATTATTGGCTTCAATCAGATTATTAAATTGAATAGCTTTGAACCAAGAATAACATAATCAGACCATTTGAAGGGGTGGAATTCAAAAGGAGGTGAAAAAGTTAAAGGACTTCATCATTAAGGCCCTCCCCATGATCAAGACAAATTGATTGGAAAAAAAGAAAACTGGGGCAAAAGAAAAGATAAAGCTGATGTTGATTTTGTTGTTTCACGTGCTCATACGTTCATGAGTACTTTAGGAGGTGAAGACTGGTTGACCAAAAACAGCGAGAAGACCCAAACTCATGAGTCGCGCTACTTTCGGAATGTAAATCTCACAAAAAGAAGAAGAAGAAATTACTTTGGGAAGAGAGAGCTCCGTTGAGCCAGAGGACGAGAGGCTTATGAAAGACCAGATTTTCTACCGTGCCATGCCGTGCCGTGCCGTGCCGTGCCCTGCTTCCTGGCCTAGGCACCGAAAGTCCAACTTGGACAAGAGTTCCTACTGCACATCGTGCAAATCACTGCATACTTGAAGAATGAATTGCTGTTGTATTTCGGTAATTAATGAAATATTCAAGCATCTTCATTCCAGGTTGCATGTGTTAGTTGCGATAAAACGACACCTAAGATCTCCATAGTTAGAATCTAGAACACAGTAATAGAGTAAAAGGAATTTGTACACCTGATTTGGAATCCGTCGTTCTTGATGCAAAATAGCGATGATCGTTAGTGCAAATCTTCTCCTCTATTACAATCTGTATCACTGGCATAATGAAACTGCTCTCACAATTGGCATTGCCCCTTATGTGATAAAATTTGTGTATTTTAGGGCTAGATGAGGGACTTGAGCACTATTTATAGAGTTTTAAGCCAGATCCTCTCGTCACGGGCCGGATCTTACTCAGTCCACACTAGCCAGTTACATATTAAACTAATTAAGAAACTTTATATTTGACATTATTAGACTAACCTTGTAAAACGGTAAATTACAATATTAATTAATGCAGCCCACATCAGAAAAACTTTTACAGCATGTGTATTAGTACTATATAAACATTGGATGAAAGGGGGGAGGGGAGCCTGTTGCCGCTCCTACTTCGCTCGCATCTTCCCCTATGACCCATATTTGGGGCCTCCCGAGGGCTTTGTTAAACTCACCGTGCTCATGGTGAGGTGTGATGTTACTATCTTCATCTCCGGACTCCAATTTAATCTTTTGAAACTGGCAAGAACTTGCTAGCTTAGGAACATATCCATTTGTCATTAGTGGTTCTTGTTGCTTCCCGGTCAAATGTTTCAGTTTTCAGCTTTGAAAGACATCTTAACTGAATGAGAATCCATAATCAAAGGGTTTTCTATATGACAGTTTCTTGCCTGACAAGTTTGACTTTGATCGAAGTCGCGCAATCTTATGCCATAGTTCAGCATCGTGGCGGCAACTAGTTAGTTAGTCAGTCGCGGGGATATTTACATTACGTACACATCTTTTAAGCATCATTTTTATTGAGTTGACAAACAAAATAGCTGCAGAAAACTTCTTTCTCTTCGTTGTCACCGTGCAATAGATTTAGCACGAAAATCTTATTCTATTCTAACTTAAGTGGGAAAAAAAATTTTCAACGAGCAAGGAGTGCCATTTACCATGTCCTGTACCCATCTCGTATATCCCCACATTGGATGTGCACCACTCTCCCTCTCTCTCTCTCTCTTTGTCCATCAGACTTGTTAGTAATTTTCTACGTGGGGGGACAGCATTGGAAACACTACCTAACGCCCGGCCAGAGGGTGGTGGCCCCCTTCGACGCACTTGATAAAAGAAAGAGAACTTTTAACCACTTTGTTTTGTTATCTTTTTTCGTTATCCTTTCATGTTACTCTTTCTTGTAGTATCCTTGTGCCGCTTTTGCATGTCGTACTTTATGAGAAAAATGATAGATGGTCATTGAATATTCGTAAATTTTTTAAATTTTTGCACGTTATCGTATTTTATATAAATAGTATGATAAGACAAGTACAGTTACGAGTTTCGACTTTTTCCAATAGATCATAGAGGTAGAGGTATTCATTGGGGCTCAAATCTGGGATTTGACCTAAAATTTTTACCTAAGTCAGGTCCATCATAAAGTTTGGCTCGGGCCCAACAGGTGGAACGCGATAGATTCCATGACTCACGAAAAAATCGACGCTTATAGTGTCATTCAGCTGAATTTTCTTGGGGTTCACTCTTATGAAAGCTCCACTTGTCAATCAAAACTTGCGGACCATAACGAGTTACATCATATATGACTTTCAAGGTCTTTGCATCATATATGACTTTCGAGGTCTTCTTTTCTTGGAAATATTGTAAGAGTAAGAATCGCGCAAGAAGAAAATCATAAAGCGATGGACGGTGTGCATCTGTCCATGCGTTTACATCAGATATGACTTTCAAGTCCTCACCGCAATTGATGAAGAAGAAAGTCATTCACCATCTTTTCCGTCTTTTGGGGGTTTTTTTTCCGAGCAACTTTTTTACTTTTCTTTTGCCCCACAGACTAACGAAGAGAAAGTCATGTTGAACCTTGATCATCCGGTTCAATCCACACGAAAGAGATTAATTGGATATTCATGGCTCGATACATTAACATAACTAAATTTTTTCATCAATTGAAAACCTTTATGTGGTCGTAGATGGTGATCTTGTTTGGGGCCGGCGAGGGCCGCCAATCCCTCGCCTAGCTAGATCTGGCGAGGGTGTCGTGACCCTCGCTGGATCTCGGCGAAGGTCGCGACACCCTCGCCTAGAGCCAACAAGGGTCGGCCGACTCTCACCCAGAGCCAGCGAGCGTCGGCCAGCCACCCTTGCCGGCCCTAATTTCAGAACCAGAAAAAAAAGAGAGAAAAGGAAAAAAAGAAAAAAATAATAAATTATTAAAATATTATTTTAAAATGTCCACGTCAGCGCCACGTGGCTATCCGGCATCCACGTCAACGATTTCCGATCAAAATTGGCTAAATGGACTCAATTAGCAAGAAATGAAAAAGTTTAGGACTCAATTGACAAAGTTGAAAGGTTTAGGACTGAATTGGCAAAAGTGCAATAAATTTATGACTTTTTGGATAATTTTCCCTCGTTATGTATACCTCGTAATGATTATCACTTGATTTTTTCTATCTAGAAGTAGGCACTAGATTCGCGTGAACAAGATGCGTTCATTGAGTTTGAGAGGGAATGGGTGACCACAGACTTCCCTCTTTTTACACCGTGAATAACACGAGAAGAAACCTACAAAGACTCCAATTGGATTGGCCGCTTTCTAAGGTAACTGGAAATGGCACGCGCGTTGACGCGGAAAAAATCAAAATTTTTGTATAGTACTTTTCTTAGTGTAAAAATTATTTTAATTTTGCGATTTTTGTATAAACTGAATGTGTTTGTATAAATTTATATAATCAAAGGTGAAAACATAATATCACGTGGGATCTCACACGCTGTGACCTATTTCGGAAAGGTTCGTGTTGATTCTCTTGCTTTTATTTCTGTCAAACTGAAGAGTTCATAACAAAGCCCCAAGAAAAGGGAAGCCAAAGATTTTTTTTGCCCCATCACCATCAGGAAATTATAATTGTAACAAGCCAATGGATGGATGAAAGATTTTGAGAATTTTTTTTAAATATTTGAAATTTTTTATCACTCAAATAATTAAAAGAGAATCCGATTCCACGAATCAAATTACTTGGAACGAAAATCCGTATAGGAATCATTATCAATGGACTTGGCGTCAACTCAAAGACTTGAGCAAGATGAGAAGACTCACAATGCAATAGATTTCGGATTTTTTTGGTACTTTTCCCCTTACATATGAAGCTCTCAGTAATTTGTTTTTGATGGTCACTTTAGCGTTTCTTTAATCCTGATATATCTTAACTCCACATCTCTTGTCTTATGCATATTTTGATAAAAGATCTATTATTGGTATATACTTTCATATATTCTTATTCATAATTCTTTAATAGAATTATGAATATTTTGGTAATAAATGCTTTAACAAAGTTTTTTTTTTTATGTATAACTAGATTCTATCTCGAAAATACCTAGAGTTTTCATCTGTGAAGAAACTCGTTCACGACGAGGTTTTGAAAGAATTTAACAATATCCAGAACCCAAGATTAACCACGTACCTTACATATTCAACTAATAACCAATATATATGTGAAGATTTACGGGTCCTAATCTGTTGCTATGTTTAGTGTAGACTCTTCGAAGTCTTCCGGAGACAATGCCGGCCTTCTGAGCAGAATGCGGTGAAACCGGATAAGAAGACCGATATACATGGTCATGAATTTAGTATGCAGAATCAATCACCCGTTAACTTCTTGGTCCCCGCGATGATAAAGATCGTTTCCAGGAATTATTTGTTAGCTAGTAATAATGCATAGCACAAGTCGTTTCTCAACAGCATCATCATTTTCTGTACTCCAACCAACAATTCTACGGTAACACGAATTGATGGTAAAACGAGATGAGAGACAAAATACGAATTACCCAAAGAAAGACCTAACACGAAATGGCACGATACGGATAATCCGCATGTTGACATGAATTGATAACATTGTAAGTTAATTAGCTCATTGAAATCTTGATGTCCTATGCCGATAGGAATTAACGCGAATTGCAACACTAATACGTTTTTCGACTAACCGCATGTCATAGAGTGAAAATTTTAATTTTAACATTTTGCCAATGCTTTTTCTCCTAAAGAAAAGATTTTCACGAGGAAAACAAAAGATTACATAATACATAGTGACCTCGATTGAGGCTCCATCTGATAATGATTTGCCATCTATATATATATCTCACCAATCTTGTTGTTGAGAACATGAGGACCTGGACAATCTCACGTCCTCAAAACCCACCCAAAAATCGTGGCTTCTTCCTCATTTCTGTGGAAGCCTTCTTCTTTAGGAGTCGTCTTCTTGCTCTACTCGCTCTTCTTCCTAAACAACATCACCGTCTTTGTTTCCACTCCATTTCAGGGCATAGGCGTTTCTGCTTCCACCACTTCTTTCGCTCCCAATGTGACTCGCCATGAGGATGAAGCAGAGGCTCTCTTGAAATGGAAATCTAGTCTCGAAAACCACAGCCAGTCTCTCCTATCTTCATGGCATGGTCACAACTCTTGCCACTTTTCGAGTGTCAGTTGCGATGACTACGGATTCGTCGCCCATCTTAATCTTTCTAATCTCGGCCTGAGAGGAACCTTAACTGGCCTCGACTTCTCGCGCTTAACCAAGGTGGTTAGCCTTGACTTTTTCAACAACTCGATCTACGGTCCGATAACCTCGAGTATCGGTAACCTTTCCAAACTTGAGCATCTTGATTTTTGTTATAATAGACTCTCTGGAAACATACCTCCATGTATAGGCATGCTAAAGAGTCTTCGCTTTTTGAGCCTATGTGCAAATTATTTGAGTGGACACATCCCTCGGGAGATTGGATTATTAGATTCTCTTTTGGAAGTTCATTTTGGCATAAACAATCTCACAGGTCCTATCCCTACTTCACTAGGAAACCTAAGCAGCCTAAATTTTCTCTCTCTTTTTCATAACCAATTTTCAGGGTCCATTCCTCCTTCTCTTGGAAAATTAGGCAACTTAACGGAATTGATTGTAGCACAAAATGACCTTTCTGGTCCCATTCCAAGAGAGATAGGTAACCTAAAAATTTTGGAGTATCTTGACTTATGGGACAACAAACTTTCAGGATCCATACCTTCAGAAATCGGGAGGCTAACCGTTCTAATTGAATTAGATTTTTCTGACAATAATTTGGTGGGGCATATCCCTTCATCTATTCAGAATTTGAGCAATCTGAATACCTTATACCTGATCTCAAATCATCTTTCAGGTTTGATTCCCGAAGAGATAGGGAAACTAACTTCTCTTGTAGATTTAGATTTGAGTAACAATACTTTGACTGGTTCAATCCCTGCATCAATTGGAACCATGGCCAATTTAACTTGGTTAGGCCTTATTCATAACAACTTTCTCGGTTCCTTGCCTCCTGAAATTAATAAGATCGTCCATTTGAGTGCTTTTGAAATCGCTGATAATGCCCTCGAAGGGCAACTGCCGGAAAATATATGCCTCGGGGGATCATTGCAACACTTCGCCGTCGAGAATAATCATTTCACAGGTCCTATCCCTAAAAGCTTGAGGAATTGCACTTCATTAGTTAGAGCGAGGCTCGAAGGAAACAAACTTACTGGGAGTGTAACGGAAGCTTTTGGAATATATCCGCAGCTGAATTTTATAGACTTGAGCCACAATTATTTGCATGGTGAACTTTCATGGAAGTGGGGGCATTGCCGCAATTTGACGAGCTTAAGGATATCAAACAACAACATTTCCGGTGAGATACCCCCGATATTTGGAAGGATGGCGCAGTTACAGGTACTTGACCTTTCTTCAAATAATTTAAGCGGAAAGATTCCGAGGGAATTGGGAAGCTTGCAACTACTGCTAGATCTTATCCTCAACAACAACGGAATCACAGGTGATATTCCCAGTGAAATTGGATTTTTATCTCGACTGGAACGTCTCAACCTGGCATCAAACAATCTCAGCGGAGCCATTCCGCTGCAGCTGAGCCTATGCACCAAATTGCTGAGCTTGAACTTGAGCCAAAATAAAATCGAAAGAAGCATTCCTCCTGAGATAGGCAACGCACGATTCCTAAGCGTTCTTGATTTGAGTCAAAATCTATTGACCGGAAGAATACCACCAGATCTAGGAAATTTGAGAGTCCTGGAAACTTTCAACATCTCCCACAATGACCTCTCTGGTACCATCCCACATAGTTTTGCTGACTTATTGGCATTAACTTCTGTTGATGTGTCCTACAATGAATTGGAAGGTCCTCTCCCAAATGTCAAAGCTTTTAAGGAGACTCCATTTGAAGCAGTTCAGCATAACAAAGGGCTGTGTGGGAGCGTGAGTGGATTACAAAAATGCAATATTTCTAACATGAGCAAGAAACACAATCGACACAGCAGAGCTAGAATTTTAATTATCCTTGTTCTCTCGTTCTTGGGATTCCTCGTTCTCTCTTCCTTCTTGATCTTTCTCGTAATTGTTAATCGCCGTCAAAGAAAGGTTATCGAGAGACAGAGGAATGCACAAACAGAGACGAATGATTTAGATTTCTTGCAGATTCTGAGTTTTGATGGCAAAATTTTCTACGAACGAATCGTGGAGGCCACGGAAGGATTTGACTCCAAGTACTATTTGGGAGAAGGGGCCTATGGCGTTGTTTACAGAGCTGATCTACCATCAGGTCAAACTGTTGCAGTCAAGAAAATTCCATCGTCCCAAGAAGATGTGACCGTCGACATCATTCCTTTTGAAAGGGAAATTGAAGCCTTAAGAAATATTCGCCACCGCAACATCGTGAAGCTTTACGGGTTCTGCTCTCATGCACGACATTGTTTTCTGGTGTACGAGTACGTCGAAAGAGGGAGCCTGAGAACAATTCTGCATGATGATGAAAGAGCAACAGAGTTTGGCTGGGACAAAAGGATAAACATGGTTCGAGCAGTTGCGGATGCATTGTCGTATATGCATTACGACTGTTTTCCTCCATTGATCCATCGAGACTTGACCAGCAACAACATCTTGTTGGATGCTGATTATGAGGCTCGTGTCTCAGACTTTGGCACGGCAAGATTATTGAGGCCAGATTCGACCAACTGGACTACTATTGCTGGCACCGTCGGATACATCGCTCCAGGTGATGTTCTTTGCAAAAGCATATTAATTTACTGTCCCAACTCGTGTTGTCATTGGAAATTCCTTGATTATTTGAAAGCAAATTTCCGAATCTTTAATTATAGATGACAAGATTATCAATGGACTTTGAATTCTTCAATTGCAGAGCTAGCTTATTCCAACATTCCAACCGAAAAATGTGATGTATATAGCTTTGGAGTTGTGGTACTGGAGACAATCATGGGAAAGCATCCGGGAGATTATGTCTCGTCAGTATTTTCATCCACTCAATCCATGTCGCAAACACCATTGAAGGATGTGCTGGACCAACGGCTCTCGCCTCCAACGAACCGGGATGCGCAACACATAATGTCTGTCGCAGCACTAGCACTCGCGTGCTTGCAGACCAATCCTCAACTTCGACCGACCATGACACAAGTCTCACGAAAGCTTCGAGTTGAAGCACCACCGGTTTTGCCGTTCTTTGGAGTCACCTTCGAACAACTCCGTAGGGGTGTCAGAACCGAACCGAAAAATCGAACCGAGATACGAACCGAACCGAACCGAACCGAAAATTCATGTATTTTCGGTTCAGTTCGGTTTCGGTTCTAATAATAAATAAATGAATTTAGTTAATATAATGGTTTGGTTCGGTTCGGCTCAAATCGGTTCGGATTTCGGTTTTTTAATGTGGTTTTCTTCCCTTCGCGCGCGCTCTCTCCTCAATCTCACTGTTCATTACTGCTCACCTCTCACTGACTTTTCTCTCTCTCACTTTTTTACTTTATTCTCTCTCTTCCTCTGTCTTCGCACTCTCACTGCTCTCCTCTCTCTCTCTCTCTTTCCTGCTTTATTCTCTCTCTTCCCTCACATCATTATCATCTCCCAAAAAGTGACGAAACACATTTTTCTCTCTGGCTTCTTGAAGTTGGGCCAGGTGCCGCGCTTGAGGTGCTCGGAGGCGGTCCGTGACGGGTTGGAGGCGGAGAAGACGGCCTCGTAGAGGGAGTGCCGGAGCTTCACGGCCTTGGCGAGGCCAGTGTCGGCGTTGTGGACGAGCATGGGCTCGAGGTGCGCCCAGTACCACGCGCCCTTCCCCTTGACGGCCTTTGGCCGTAGCATGACAAGCCCCTTGTAGCGCTTGTTCACGGCCTCGGCCGTCAGCTCGTCGGCCGATGCCGACATCGAGACCGAGTCCACCCGGGCCGGCGACGGCGGCTCCGAGGTGTTTGTGATGGCCGCCATTAACCAAACGGGTCGTCCGAGTCCCGGTCCTCGCTTTTTTGTTGTTAGAGCGGGTTCAGTCGCCGGAAGTTCGGTCTTCGGCGAGTGTCCATGGCCGACTCCGGTGATCTGGTGGGGCCTTTCGGTGGTGGGTCATCAATTGACCTGCTTCTTGACGGGAAGAAGAAAGAAGAAGCAGTCTCGCAGAGAAGGGAAGAGAGAGAGCGGAAGAAGAAGACGAGGAGGGGGAAGGGAAGAAGTGTGAAAAAAGATAAAAGAAGAAGAAACCGAAAACCAAACCGAACCAAACCGAACCAAATCGGTTTATCGGTTCAGTTCCAATTCGGTTCGGTTCCTATTTGGTTCGGTTCAAGGAGGCACCCTTAACGGTTCGGTTCGATTCGATTTTTCAAGAAAACCGAACCGAACCGAACCGAACCGTTTACACCCCTACAACTCCGTGATCTCGATGGCCGGAACTTTTAGACCATATTCAGGAGGTTGTGAAGTTGTTGATCGAGTTACTGTCGTGTGTTCGCCTTTTCTGGCTTCTGTGTTCGGTAGTAAAATGTCAATTAGTATTAAAACTTCGAAGATGCATAGTCTAAATGTTTTCTTTTTGTTAGAGGAGGACAGTAAACTTTCTTCCTTTCGTGTAAGCAAGCATCTATTCATAGTAAAATAACTTGCTTCTTATTAGCCAAATAATTTTGACTTGTTTGAAATATCATGTTCCGTATCACATCACAACGTCGTGCATGCGCAATTATTCTGGGATACTTCACAGCTTTGAGATCGCTATGTTCGGTGAACTCGATTGATGACCGACGGTTCTTGGCTTTCGAGCGGCCAAAAATCGAGGTTGGAAGTTTGGAACGTCCGGAATCGACATCATTCCTTGTAGAGTGAGTTCGGCACGAGGCAATTAGCGGGTCATATTCAACGGTCAATAATAACTAACTGGCACATCAATTAATAGATGGAATTTGTTTGCCCAAATGTGTGAAGCTGGTATTCCTCAAAGAATGATGATGATTGAGGAATCCGAAAGTCAAGAAGAGAAGGAGAGATAATTTACTTGATGAACGGGATGTGATATTTAATCGCCGGTGTCCACGTTAGCGATTTCCGGTCAAAATTGGCCGAATGGACTCAATTGGCAAGAAGTGAACAGGTTTAGAACTCAATTGGCAAAATTGAAAGATTTATGCCTGAATTGGCAAAAATACAATAGGTCTAAGACTTTTTGGACAATTTTCCCGTCAATTTTATGTGTCGGGCCAAGCATGGCATGGAAAATCCCGTGCACGGGCAGGCACGCCCATGACACCAATGGGCTGTGCTAGCCCCCGTGTTAGGCTCAAGCACGTTATGCCCAGGGTGGTTTTTAATTTCTTTGTTTCTTTTTTATATTTTTTAAAACTAATTTAAAATTCAATTAAACGATGGAAAAAATTAAAATTTCAGTAGAATAAATTATTCCTACTTCACGATTATTTTTTATAGTGAGTTCCAAGCAGGGATAATCGGACAAAAATGGAATACATAACATAGTATGTAAGACTCGCACCTAAACGAATACATCTCATTATAAAATCAAATAACACCATACAGGTTGCCATTGTCAAAATACAAATACGTAAGAAGCAAACTCAGATCATTACATTCTCATAAAAAAAATTACAACCTAATAATTAAAAACACATTTTTATCATCACGGGAATACAAACAAATGCACCTACATAACTTTCAAATTAAGAAAAATAAGTAAGATGCAAATCTCAAGGGATCATTCCAAGAGAGGCAACGGAGCTACCCATGGGCTTGACAATTTCAGCGAGACATTTGTCCCGGTGCCTTTTCAAGTGGCATGTTCCACCACTATATATCAAAAGATAATTTCCCGCCACATATCGTGCAAATGGCCTTCTCCTCACCATTGGGGAAGCTCAGCCCACGGTGTCCACTGTCCAACATCTTCCAAACATTCGACCCTCGCAAAAGAAAGTTTTTTGGGAGTTGGCGAGCCATCTGGGAAATGGGTTGGGCGCTGCAGCTGATTTAGGTCGATCGCGAATTCCAAGCTTGGAAATATCCTTTACAGAGATATCGCCATTTTCTAAGAAGTAAGGAGAAGAGCACGATCGTGAAAATAAGAGGAGGAGGAGGAGGAGGGGTTGAATTTCTTAAGAAGTTGATCCTTTTTCCATTAATGTGGCTGAACATCACACTGTTAAAAAAGGATGGGCCGTGCATGGGCCCACCCACTAGGCCCAAGTACATGGGCCATCCCAACCCAGCCCACCCAAGTTAGGGCCGGGCTAATGGCCCTTATCGCTAAGGACGACAGCAGTCACCTACGAATGCGGTGGTTAGGACAGTACAGAGACAATGACTCTTTCGAAAACGAGAAAATATTCGGTGAGAACATGCTGCCAGGTCACCTGCTGATGTGGCACGCATGTGTCCAGTCAGTACCAGTGAAATTTTGACACGTGAAAATTTGAATCTTCTCAAAATAAGAAAAGGAAAATTAGTTGGTGTCAGCCTAGCTTGCTAAAGCAACCCATCCTTAGCAGCGCAATTAATGCTCCCGAAATTTCAATTGAGCGTCCTTTCTCCTTCCCTCGTTGTCTCCGCTAATCAAACTCTTTCTTCTTCCTTATTTGCTCTTCTTCCTCGTTTCCTTTTTCTCTTTTGCCCTTTCTCCTTCCCTCGTTGTCTCCGCTGATCAAACTCTTTCTTATTCCCTTTTTGCTCTTCTTCCTCATTTCCTTTTTCTCTCTTTTTCAGTTTCTGAAGGAAGGCTTTCTATTACGGATGTGCAAAACTCCACTTCGCACAACAAAATAGAGGTGCGCTGCGGGACGCTCTGGTTTGAGCAAAACAGAGGTACTTTGCGAGACTTCGTTCGGGTTCGCGCAAAACAGAGGTTTGCAGCACTTCGCTCTGGATCACGAAAATCAGAGGTGCGTTTCGGCCCTACTCGTATTTTGCTTTTGCAAAAGTCTCAGTTTCGTAAATGAGCTGCACTTCGCTATTGTTCGATCTTATATAAACTTTTCTTTTTCTCTCTTTCTCAGTTTCTGAAGGAAGAATTTTTGTTATGGAAGTGCAAAACTCCACTTCGCACAACAAAATAGAGATGCACTGCGGGACGCTTTGGTTTGCGCAAACAGAGGTGCTTTGTGGGACTTTGCTTGAGTTTGCGCAAACAGAGGTTTGCAGCACTTCGTTCCGGATCGCGAAAATCAGAGGTGCGTTTTGGCCCTACTCGTATTTTGCATTAGCAAAAGTCTCAGTTTCGTAAATGAGCTACATTTCGCTATTGTTCGATCTTATATAGACTTTTCCCCATCCTATAAATTGTTGTATGTAAATCATGGCACATTGCTTTGGCACCACCAATCCGAATTCCATCAATCGACTAAAACCTAGGGTAGTGGGGCGTGGATGAAGGGGTTTTAGAAGGAGAGCTTATGCAAGTGAGCTGCTCTTAACAATTATGAGGAACCCCAATGATGCTTGCCAACTGTTTGCGCAAAGGTCTACGCATGAATTGGCTTAGCAATTGTGAATGTTTTCACAAATTGTGTTTGTTTTCACATATGATCCTGCAACGAAAGAAAGGAAAAAAAAATTTTAATAGCCTTGAACTCAAGCTACCCTTGAACTTAAGCTGTAGTCGCACTACTCTGTATATTTCTTTCTTTTTTTTCCGTCTGTCATAAGGGCTACTGGTTGATTGAAAAGCTTAGATTGAGATTGAAATTTCAATATAGAAGATAACTGTGCTACAACGAGCTGCAGATAATGTTTTTTTCTTTTCAAAGCTTGCAAATTAGTGATTATGGTAGATAAACTAAAAGGTTGTTGCTAGATAGTTTTTGAAAGGTTTCCGGATAATTCACGTTCGATGATTTCTTTTGCTTGGACTTCATCTATTTTTTATTATCATGACTATAAGTTTAACTACCTATAACATTACGATTTTAGTATGACATCTCAAGGATCTTCGAATACATTGGTTGATTTTCCATCCAAGATATGCCCATGTCCTCAAGGGAGATTATGCACAGTCAAAAAAGTGCAAAAGAATCCTATAAATCGAGGTAGATTATATTATGCCTCATCTTGTAATGTAAGTGTTTCAATTTTTAACAAATTATTTATGCATGTTATGACATGTTGTAATACTTAATCTTGCCTTACACTGATTTTTTTTTTCCAGACAGATAACTGTCGTGGTTTTGTGCAATGGGTTGAAGATTATGTTTGAGGAATTACGGCTCTATTCACCGAAAAATATCGACGAAGCCGAGTCAGGAGTTGCATCAAATGAAAATGAAGAAATGGCTATCCTGAAAAGAGAATTGAAGTTAATTAGAAGGATGGGCTTTTTTATGTCAATAATAGTACTAAATGGAGTTATCATATCTTTACTTACTGGAATTGTAATCTCGATGTTATTATATAGTTAGTTATAGGGGTTATTCCTGAAAATTTTGTAGAACTTGTTTTTATTATGCTGTTGAAGTAATTTAGAGATGAATGAATTTTTGTCTTTCTCAAAACGAATATATAGATTGTGTCTAAACCAGACCAGTGTATGACACTCTGAATAGTGAATAAAGCCTACCCAAACATGTATGTGTTAAATTCTAGTTATAACCAACTTAGTTATTTTTCTATGACATCAAAGAGAAAGAGATTGTCCCTCCTATGAGAGCCAAGGGACCCAGGATCGACATTGAGATGAGAACTTGTTATTAATATGATTTTAAAGTAATTTAGAGAAGAATAAGTTTTTATCTTTCTTGAAACGAATATCTAAATTGTGTCCAAAGCAATGTATGGCACTTTGAATAGCGAATATAAAACAATGTATGGCAAAAAGCAGCGTATGGTATGGCATAATGAATATAAAGCGTATGCAAACATCTTTACGTTCGATTCTAGTTATAACCAACACTAAAGAGATCGTGTCCCGGCTAATAGTGCCAAGAGACCTCAGCTTTCATACGAGTCATTATAAGAAGTGGACCAACCCTTCCATTAAAGCCCCCAAGAGGGAGAGAATTAAAACCGACATCATGTGCATATATACATCCCTTCGATATGCCATAGAGGATAGATACAAAAGAAACCAAATATCTACAATCAGTAACTTAATCGCCAAAAAGGGACTCTTGTAAATAGAACCTAAAAACAAAACAACTACTAATCTGTTAACAACCAAATATTCTCCTAACAAAAACAAATCCTTGGAGATCAGATACACAAATTGCTTCCACATTGAACTTGCTTGCCGAAGGAAGATCAATCTCTAATGACCGCAGACTTTTACTGAAGATCAATCCCGCATAAAAAGTGACAGTACCGGAATTATTTCATGCATTTTGTTGCTTATACCCATTTTCATAATGGAGAAGTGCATATAAATAAACTGTCAAAAATAGATGCAATCATTCTTTTACGTTAAACAAGCTATTATAATACCTTGTGTAAGGTGACTCGTGCACATGAAGAGGCTTTTCTCTTTCGCTTCTCCCCGATGCTCTTCAATCTAGTATTTGGTACACCTTTTGGTCTTCTCCGAAAGGGATCACATATTCGAATTCCATTACAGTCCGAATCGTTCACCTTGAAAATCACTGCAGGAAGGGAAAATTCACAACATCAGGCAACTCATCCCACCAAAGCTGATGATTCTTTAAAATTTAACATCTTGAGAGATAGAGAGAGATTACGATTTTACAATACGATACTAGAACTGATAATATAACTTCAACCACAGACAATGCGGAGCGAGCAGATGCTCTCAACCACCTGATTCGTTTCCTTCTGCAGGTTCAAAACAGTTTGATTCTAATTGAACTCATTTACTGGTCTGGCCTCCAATTGGTTTCATTATTCTCCCATCTAACGAAAATTATACTTCCATGATTCAGTATCTCTAACTTACGAGACACACCATCGCTGGTTTCCAACTTTTTAGATTACTCTAATCTGAATATAATGCTAAGAGCTGCTTAAATAAGCCAATCAATTTCTTTTATACGTATACCAACACCGCCTTGCTTCTCATCTTCTATGATTTTCAAAGAGTGGGAAAGTTTTTTCACAAATTAAACTGGTCCAACAAAGCTCCTTTCAGAACAAAATGTCGAAAGATGACAACTTCCACACAGGGTCACAGTCTGAGTAAACTTACATTCAATCTTCTGCTGTTTGCTAGCTTTGGCACTAAAAGCAGACAAGAATGCCACAAAATCCTTAAAATCCAAGCCATCCACCATCTTAAGCAGCCTCTGTGTCAATAAAAAAAGAACGCATTATGAGCATCCTACTCAGAAATGAAATCTAAAGCGTCTCCCACTGCTCCTGAACAATTTTCGAGTCAGACAAGACAGATGAAACCCAGAAGAGCCCGACCCACCCAAAACAAAAACAACCCAGAAGAGAATTGACGAATAAAATAATGTCAAGGCAAAAAAATTCCAACTTGTACCTCCAGATAGAGACACGACAGTCCAAGAAAGATAGGGACAGGGACGCTTGGAACAGGAGGGAGGGAGACCAGGGGCTCTAGTTGGAACAGTAAAAGGAGCAAAACAACCAGAGTCCAAACCCTAACTCTCCTTGGGAGAAAATATTGAGTGCCTCTTGTGATTCCACCGTGGAAAAATCTAACCTCCAGCAGATCTTCGCTCGTCGGACGGAAACAACGAGCCGGAGTTGCCGATGGGCTCCTCGAGGCGACGGTGGAGGCCGCTGCTTATTTGGTCGCGAAGAGAGACACCGGCACTTTGGTTCCTTGAAATTCCTGAGAAAGAGGAGTCGTGAAGTGAAGAGGGGTCGTGAAGAGAGACGAGAGAGAGAGGAGAGCATTCGCTTCGAGAAAGAGGGGAAAAACCCTAACCTGAGTCGGACGCAGACGACAAAAAGGGGTCGAGCTTCGATCGAAGGAGGCGAGGTCGCGAAGAGGGACGGAGAGACAGAGCAGAGCGAAGGAGGAAGGGAGCAAGCAGAGCGTGGTGCCTTTGGGTCGTGACGAGAGACGGAGGGAGAGACCGAGAGATGAACGAAGCCAACGGAGAAGCAAAACGGAGAAACAAACTAAGGGGGTTTTTGAATATTTCTGACGGGTGGATACTAGAACAAATACGTTTTAAACCTTTTATTTCCGGACATTTTTGCAAAAATTTATGCCGAAAAACAGTTTTGAAGAGAAACAAGAAGTAAAAAAGTTGCTTCTTGTTTCTCGCACAATTATGAGAATCAATTTTTTTTCTTCTTTTTCTTTTCTTATTTTTGTGTTGTTCTTCATTGGGCTGGGCCGGCCGCCTGTGACCGGCCACAGCGCAGGGCCGACGAGGGCGTCACGGCCCTCGCCGGCCGCCGGCGGAGGCGAGGGTTGGACCCCCTCGCCGCTTGGGCGAGGTGGCCTCGCCCGGATCGGAGAGGCCGAGCCTCGCCGTCGGTCGCGACGGCGAGGTCGGCTCGCCCGAGACGGCGAGGGTCCGCCCTCGCCTCGCCTCCACCGGCGAGGGCCGTGACGCCTCGCTCCACCGGCGAGGGCCGTGACACCTCGCCGGCCCTGGGGCATGTGCCGGCCACGGTCGCGGCGACGGCCATGGCCAAAGAAGAAAATAGGTAAAAAGAAAAAAATTAAACAATTCAAAATATTATTAAAATATTATTTGGGAACAGAAATTTTGTGTAGTTTACCAAACGCATTTGTTCTTTTCTACTCTAGGAATAGAAATTTTGGACAGTTTATCAAGCGCCTTCAAATACTCGAAATTGTTTTTAGCACGTAATAAAAAAATCATTTCTGTCGAATAGTTCCTGCAAGAAATGGTATTCATGCGCACCCTAAGAGAGCGGGGAGGGGGGTTTTTGAATATTTCTGGCGGGTGGGTCCCGAAGGCCACGTGTCGCGAGCTGGGTGGACTGTCTCACAGATGACGTGGCGAGACAGTCCTACACGATATTTTCTCATCCGTTCCATCCGCGTCCTTCCTACTCCCTACCACCACTCCTCTCCCTCACTCGAAACCTTGCCGGAAGCCACCGCCCTGCCGGTGGCTCCGCCTGTCTCTCCGGTCCCCGATGGCGGCCTAGGTTCCGGTCCTCTCCCCGGCTCCGTTCGCTGCTCCGCCGAGGATCCGCGCCTCGATTCCTCACTCCGCGAGGTCGAATTCCGCCTCTCCTCCTTCTTCTTCTGCTTCTGCTGCTGCTTCTTGTTCGCCGTCTTGCTCGTGTTCCGTTTCGGCTTCCATCCGCCGGCGACGGAGGGCGCTCGGCAATGGCGCGCGTGCTCGACCTCGTTTTTCATCGGGAGAGTCGGGCTGCAGAAGCGAGAAGGCAATGTCTCGCTGCTCTCGTTCGGGAACAAGCAGCAGGTGATCTCCGTAGCCGACGGGACCGATTCGTCTCAGGTCTTGTCCGCGATGCTTCTGTTTGTCGTCGCCGCCACGGCAGTCGCTCTTGCTCAGCCGGCGACTTTTACTTGGTAATTGGTCTTCTTTTCTTTAATCCGTTCGCGCGAGGAACTTTTTGGAGACCACCGCTTGACTTTTTCAGGTTCAATTGCTTTGCATTCGAAGACGTTTCGAACCTCGGGAACAGTCCTCGTCCTGCTCTTCTGTGCAGTATCTGAACTTTGAATATATGATATTTATACATGCGTCGCCTCGTCTTACCACAAAATAAAAACAAAAATGAGTCTCATGGATTATTATATGAAAACTGCATTTATACCAACACATATGTAACATTCACTATCATTATAAAATTCACTGAAAATCTTAAAAATCGAAGTTTTACTGGGACTATTAATTTTGTATTCGTAAGTTTGTGAAGACATACCTGATACCACTTTGGTTCGTCACGTTTCTTTACGATAATTTCAAATATGATACAATTTGTCTAACAATTTGTTAGAGGAGGAGGTTGAGTTACTGTAAAGATCTGATTTTTGGATGTGTTTGATAAAAGGTGCATTCGAACGAGTTGTCTAATGCATATTCTTCTTAATTGGCTTATTGTCTGCTCAATCAGTTTATAGTTTGCTAAATTTGGCGGTATTGCATATGTTTCGTGCAGTTAACCATTCTTAATTTCAGACTACGTATGTAGCAGCTGTCTAATAACATGAATTTTCCACAGGGTATCCAAGGAGTTATACGCCCTCGCTCCTGGTGGGATCATGTTGTCGATAGCAATCAGGCTTTCTATCGAAGATTTTGCTCTTGTTTTTAAAAGGTGATTGTATTTTGGGTAGCTTCAAATGCAATTTCTATCAGCTCTTTTGCAACTTTGGTGGTAGTCGTGATTTCATCTGGTTTCTTTATTTATTACAGACCTTTACCACTATCTATCGGGTTCATCGCACAGTATGTTCTGAAACCGGTCCTCGGGGTGTTAGTTGCCCGGGCATTTGGGAAGTCTCACATGTTTTATGCTGGTTTTGTCCTCACAGTTTGTGCGTCAATTGCTGATCATATTAATGAATTCAATGTGATCGTTAGTCAATTGAGTTCGGTTGAGATTGACTTTGAAGATGAGGTACGTGCTTTGATTCTATTATCCTCATTGCCTGATAGTTAGAATATTACTGTTACTGCTGTTAGTAATTCCTCTAGGTTAACAAGTTTGACGGTTGATGGTGTTCGAGATTTCATTCTGAGTGAAGACATCCGTAGAAGAGAATCTAGTGAACATGTATCTACTTCTTTAGTAGGTGAAAATAGAGGAAGAACTAATACATGTGTTAGCGGAAGAAGTATAAACATAAATAGACGAAGTCAGTCTAGGACTAGTGGTGTTGTCTCTTGGAGTTGTGGTAAGAGGGGGCATCTTCGAAGGGGTTGCCTTAAGCTGAAGAATGAAAAGGGTAAGGGAATTAAAGATGAGTCTGCGGATGATATTGCAGATATAGCAGACAGTAATTTCGATAGTGCTGATTATGTTTTGTCTATCACTGATGATTCGTCGTTTGGCAGATGAATTATGGATTTTGATTGTTTGTTTCACTCTGCATCAAACAAGAACTGATTTACTACTTATCAGTGCACGGATAGTAGTAAAGTGTAGTTGGGGAACAACGCGAAATGCGATGTTATAGGTGTTGGTAATGTTAGAATCAGAATACATGATGGTATCGTGTGGACATTGACTGGACTGAGGCATGTTCGAGAGTTGAAGAAAAATATGATTTCTTTGAGTGCTACAGATTTAGCTGGGTGTCGATATTCTTCAAAATGTAGAGTTTTGAAAATTATTCGAGGTGCCTTGGTGATAAAGAAAGGAATCAAGCACAATAGCCTATATGAGCTACAAGGTGAGACAGTGACAGAATTCGCCGTGGAAACGTCAGATGCATCGGTTTGAGAGTTTGAATTGTGGCATATGTGTTTATGGCACATTAGCGAGAGAAACCTGAAGGTTCTAAGTAAAAGGAATTTGTTATGTGGTTATGTTTCTGACAAATTGAATGTATGCAGATGCTGTGATTTAAATCAACGGCGGAAAGTGCAGTTCAATGCGATTGTTAACGAAACCACGGATATTGCAGAATTAACTCACTTGGATATTCGCAGGTTGTCGCGATTTCCTTCGAGGAAGAGTGCCAGATTTATGTTAACAGTTGTTGATGACTACTTGAGGAAGACTTGGGTGTTTGTGCTTAGGCACAAGTTTGATGCTGTTGTCAGGATCATGCAATTGAGAGTTTTGATTGAAAAGGAGACTAATAAAACGATCAAGCATGTGCGGATTGACAATAGTATGGAGTTTTGCTCGAAGTTATTAAACGAATTCTGCATGAAGAAAGGCATAGTGAGATACTGCATTAATGCCAATGAACCACTATAGATTGCAAAGTTGATGAGCAGAACATTACTAGAGACGGCCCATAAAATGCTTTCTAGTGTTGGTATGGCTAGAAGATTTCTAACAGATGTGCTTAGTACGGCGAGCTACCTAAATAATAGATTTCCATCGACTGCGATTGGATGTTGGACTCCCGAAGAAGTGTGGTCAGGTAACGTTGCTGATTATTCTGTTCTTAGAATATTTGGTTGCCCATGTTATGTTCGAGTTAGTGATGGTAAGCTCGATGGAAGGACAAGAAAGTGCATGTTTCTAGGTTATGCACAAGGTGAGCGGAGTTATCGGTTGTGGTGCCCGGAATTAAATTCACCTGTTATTGGCAGAGAAGTTACATTTGACGAGTCTCCAGTACTTTTGGCTAGGAGTGTTAATAATAGTGCTTATACGAATCTGGACGGTGTTCAGCTTGAGGTGGAGTTGCAACCAGAAACTCCTAAGGTAGCGGGTACTAGCGAAAGAATCGACATGGATGGTGCTTATAGCGAGGTGGAGCCTATTGAGACAACAGTTACTGTAATTGCTGATATTGACAAGGTGCGTATTCGATCTCCTGATAAATATGGATGCAACGATGGTTTTGCTTTCTTTGCGGTTAATGAGATTATATCGAAAAATCCTTGTAGAGTGGTTAAAGGTGCATGTCGAGTTGGCATTCTGATGAGATCCACAGCTATGGCGAAGTTCAAGCAAGGCTTGGACTTGAAAAACTTATGTGGCGGTTGAGCCCATCGGAGGCTATGAGACAATAGTAGCAAAATTTGGATTCTATTGAAGCGATCGTGACTTGGCTCAGTCGAGCCAAAGTGAAGATTGTTAAAATATGTTTCGAGTTTGAGCCTGAAATGAAAATCTGAATATTTTGAATTGATATTTTGCGGACGTTCGAAATCGAGCAAAAAAGGAAATATTGGAAATTTACTTTCCAAATATGTGCTGGAGTCGGCCAAAAGAAAGTGAAGAGAAAAGTCAGACATTGGACTTTTGCTGACCGAATTCCACTTGATTTAGTTTCCTTCTCCGGTACGCGTGGCTATCGTTGACCGCGTTATGCTCTTCTTCAGGCGGTGGACACATATATAGTTATAGCTTATACGTTGGTTTTCAAGTAAGAGCTGTTGTTGATGATTCGCTTGAAGCGCTGTTTTGAGTGCTTGATAGTGGAGCAGTGGGCGTGCTTTGTTGTGCGAAGAGGTGCAGAGGGACTCCATCGTGGGCTTCGAAGTTCAGATAATTACATCCGTGTGCTAGTGTTTTTTTAGCCAATTAAATCTTGTGATAAGATTTGTGTATAATTCCTTCGCGAGATTACGAGATTATTTCGTGAGAAATTGTGAGGCTAAACATTGCGTGAGCTATTCGGTGTAATTGGGGCTTGGGAAACACTTAGAATTTTTGAGTGACTCGAGTGTGGTTGTAATCTCCCTTGTATCGCTTGATCTATAGTAAAATCCCGTGCTACTTTCCCCGTGGACGTAGGTCACTACGACCGAACCACGTAAATTTAGTGTTCGATTTATTTTCTTGTTTCGTCAATTTTATTGTTCGATCACTTGGCTTCCGCAACACAATCTATATGCCGTAACAGGATAAATTTTACAATGGATGGTGCATAAATAAACCAATGGCAATCACACGGGTTTACAGCAGTATCTGTTGAGATGAATGCATGTTGGCTTTACTTGACTGGCTTAAGGTATTAGTTCCTCTCTTGCATTTTTCAGCTTGGTACTTAAGCAATG